TTGTGGCTGTGATGACATAGGCTGTTTGAAAATTGGTGTGCCACGAATCTGAGCCATTCCTTTGCTTCCCGTTGTTTCGACCCCTGGAACAGATACCCAGCAAGCACTGAGCTATCCCAGACCTCACTTGAGAGAGAGAACGTCACATTATATTTTCTTATTTTCTTGTAAAATCTAAAGCCTTTTTGAACTGTATTTCATGAGTGGTTTCGATTTAGTGTCGTGATGGTAAAATAGGTATTTAATTTCACATAACTTGCACTTCACATTACCGTAGCTTTTTTCATATTTATTTAAAGAAAATGTGTTGTTGTGTTTTTCTACAACACTGCTTTAATTTTACTATGAAGAATATCACAAAACTAAGCTGTAGGCTACGCAATTCACTTTTGCTTCTAAAATCTATTAAATATTTGTAAGTATATTCCTTTACTCTAATGTTGGCGTGTAGATTAATGAAAACACACTGAGTTAAGGATCTGACTAGCTTCTGCCTTATTCTACCCTACCCCATTTTACAACTAAAAATCGCAATATTTCAGCCATTTCTTATTCGATCTTCTTGAACTTGGTATCGTTTTATAGGGAATAAAAATGCTAAATAAAAGTGTTCTAGAAATGTTTTCATAAGTTAGCCTAATTGAGTAATTTAAGTTTAAAAAATTAAAATGTCCGCCATTTTGAAATTTTAAGTTGAATCGAGATGATTTTTTTACTGACATGAAGCTCTTCTACCTTAACCTATATAGGTACTAAGTTTTATAAAGATTAGTTGAAAATCCAAAAATAAAAATGTTTATGTATAAAATACAAAATGGCGGATATCTTGTTAACGAAGCGATTTTGGAAAAAAATGTTAGTCTTGATTTTCTCTTAATTTTGACCCATAGAACCATTTCCCGGAGTTTTGCTGTTTACGTACGGGACACCCTGTATATTGTTTTTTGCTTTAATACACTACAGTATGTTGTGCAATTCTTTTTTACCTGTCATCTTTTAGTATGTGAGTTGTTTCAACTAAGTAAAATTTTAAGTACGCGTAGGCCTAATATTTGAAAATTAAATTGTATGTTACAGTATTTTCATACAAGCATCAGCGTCTCATATAATATTTACTAGGAAGCCTCATAATTAACCTAGCTTGAAAGAAAGATATTTTTTTTCAAACTAAGAGGTCCAATGAAATTAAACTTCAATATTTTATCTTCAGTGTCCTCTCTGTTGCAAAGCACGGGTACAGCAGCTAGTTTATAATATTAGTAACATATAGATCATTATTTAATAACAAAAATAGCTGAATATCATTTGGTTTTGTTGATTTGGAATAAACTAGTTAATCTCTTAACGACAACTTCTATAGATAACAGATGTATGGTTGCTCCTTATTCAGTAAACTGACGATTGGCGTACAAACAATAACCCATTGTTTTGCAACGTTGAGTCAGAGTCGTAATGGTAGATACAAGAAATTGATTTTTTTTTATGTTTGGAGGGTTAAAGATGAAAACCAATTTTAATCCCATAAATTTCCCAAAAACCCTGTTCCCATAGTCCGATCATTCTGGTTTGTTAACTAGTTTGAATAAACGTCGGTATTATTTTTTTACAATTCAAGTTTTGTACTAAAATTCATCGAAATCGAATTCGGCTCTGGGGACATTAGAACTAATAAAAAGTAAAGAAGACCCGAGTCTAGGTCTACCATGAGACCTACGGTTATAGTTTATTCGCTATATAGGAAATTCGCTAAAAGACGTTCTCAATAATTAATATATTTAATTAATATATCTTGTTAACGAAATTAAATTAACTGGCCCAAACCTTACTTCTTTTAAAACAATTCTTGTTGTAGTATTTGTAGGGTATAAATTATTGATCTATTGTGTTGTAATTAAGTACCGTGAAAGTACAAACATTCTTTTATGCCAAACTTTATGTTATATACCTATATAAATGTTTGTACTTTGTATCGTAATTATTAGGTACCTACCCAAGGCTTTATAAAAGTAATTAGTATCTCCAAACAGTGACGCGGTGTAAAATAGGTAGGTTTACAATAGGTACCTCCACCGGCCGCAGCAAACTTGCAGACTTTAAGCGAATTTTTCTATTTGCTTGGATTTTTACTAAAATATCTCCTTTAAAAGTGTCATATGTGTTCCCTATTTAAATATCATTAGTTTAATGATTATCTACTTAGGTTTGCTGCTACGGGGAAGGTAATAAAGTGTGTTTTAGGTAAATGTTTAATACCCCCGCCGCAGCAAACCTGCATACTACGCGAATTTCAACTTGTCTGATTACATATTTACTAAAATATTTCCATAAATAAGACATACTTATTCCCAATTTAGGTAACATTAGATTAAACGAGTGCTTAGGTTTGCTGCTACGGGGAAGGTAAACAGTTTTTATTTTACCAAACGTCAATAGTAAAGGATGAAATAAATAAATTTGCCAAATTTGATCAAAATATATCCATAAACAAATAAACTACAACAATTTTCATTTTCTCCATAAGAATAACATGGGAATTTTAAAATTGCCCTTTTTTAATTTTCTTACTAACCCTTAGGCATACAACAATGCTTCAATCGACTAAATTATTTATTTTTTAAGCTCTACAAAATGGTTGGAAAAAAATCCTAAATTTTAAGTTTTAGGGTCAAAAATGGGGAAAACCCATTTTTACCCCATAAACCCCCCCCCCTATAAACCCCCGTTCCCATGGTCCGATCATGCTGGTTTGCAAATTCGTTCGAATAAATGTAGGTTTACACGTTTATACCAAATTTAATCAAAATCGGATAGCCTAGTTTTTGTTCGAGTTATCGTGCTAACGGACACATATATCTATACTATTATATAAAAATATAATTGTGTCTGTCTGTATGTGTGTTACTAATAGATGCAAAAACTACTTAACCAACTGGGCTTAAATTTTACAAAAATATAGCTAACATACCAAGGACCATTATAGGACTATTCACATTTCGATACTGACCGTAGGCTTTGCCCCTTTGGCTTTAAAAGTTCTTAGGTGAGGATTTTAAAAGTAAATATTGATTGGTCTCCATGGATGCGATTAGAACACTAAATAATGTTTGTTTACATTTGCTTTGACATTTCAATGTAAACAATAAGAACTGCTAAATTGCATATTTCACAATTTCAGACAGCTGATATATAATATTTTCCATAACTATGAGGTAGGTTTATTTTAATCTAGCGTTTTATCATGGATTATTTATTCCAAAACTGTCAATGATTATAGAAAAAAAAGATTCTATAACCGTTGCTGTAAAAACTCCGGCTCTGCTTTGGATTTTTTAAAGCGTCTCGGTTATGAAAATGATGTTATTGATATGTTTTATGGAAACAGTTTAAAAATTATGTATATATGTTTTGTATGAATTTGGAGGCTACCTTAAGTAAATTCGAACTGTTTAACATGTGTTGGATTAACTTAACATAACTTGCACATCACATTGTTTTTTATATGTATACTTAGGTTTATATTTAGTTATTGTGTTTTGCGTAACTAATGCTTAAAAAACTAAAGAATATCATCAATAACTAAATTGAACGTCATTAATTTTTGCATTCTAAAATCTGTTGTATATGTTTAACTATATTTAATTATCAAATGATAATACAAAATACTCTTACTTTATCATAACATAGCTTTCAGTTCACATTTACTTTATTTGATAAATTTATTATTTGTGTTTTGCCACACCACTGATTAAATTAAACCAAGGAAAATATCATAAAACTAAGCAGTACACAGTGTTCTTTTGTTTCTAAAATCAATGAAATATCTGTTACTATGTTTATTTAATGGTAAGTGTGGAAATTTAAAGGCAATGGACGAAGGAACCGATTAAAAGAACTGGTTTGTATATTAAGTTGTTTCTTGATATTTTTGTAGAGTAGAATCAGAGATGCAATGAAACATATATGTACTGCATTTGCCATTACATGCATTTTTAGTCCTCGACGCTCTGATAATCATATTAGTTTTGTCTGCTGTCTTTAATGCTAAATTATTTTGTTTAGAATTTTTATAGTATAGATATAGTTTCTTTAATATTTCAAAAGACTGTATTGATAAGGCACAACAATATTTTTAATGCTTATAACAGCTGACTTAGTTTTGCTAATGATTTATTGTGAGTGAAGAAACTGAAGATGGAAGGATTTGTTATTTAATATGAAGAAAAGTGAAATTAAAAAAAATCCATTTAAATTTAATAATTAGTATTTTTGCAACTTCAAAATTGAAATTTAAAATGTCAATTATAAATAAAAAGATATGTAACTAAGGGAGATGAAGGTAAATCGTATGTGAAAGTTTTATTCGAAGATTTGGTCAGTTTTTCTCATATCAGCCTACACAAGATTTAAAATTAATCCAAACCAAAATGGTGGTATTCACTACGTACCAGATTTAAAAGTCATAACTTAAACATTTTCTATTAAGGCCATAAAAGTTTAATTTTGTTTCTAAAAGCGTTGGCGGATGTGTAACTATTATATGCAACAGATGTAAAGATTAAAATGTTTCTATTTCGTGTCCTCTTCCCGTTGCAAAGCACGGGTACAACAGCTAGTATACCATATTAGTAGGCCTACCATATTAGTAAGATATAAATATATAAACATATATGAATTTGAATGGATGGTGTTTTTGGCCTATGGGGACATCAAAACAAATAAGTAAATCGGTCCCTGTTCCAGGTCTTACCATGAGACCTACGGTAATAGCTTATTCCCTATATGGGAAATTCGCTACAAAAGATATTAACTGCATGCACGTTTAAAGGTAAGCATGATGTTTTTGGCCTTTGGGGACCTTAAAACGAAAAAGTTAATCTGTCCTGTGTCCAGTGTCCAGTGTCTTATCACGAGTCTTACAGTCCCTAGCTCGTTGGGAAATTAGCAATATTCCCTCTTAGGCCTACCCAGGTCCTGACCTACAATAATACTACAAGACTCACTGCTGATCCAGAGGTAAGTGCTCGAGCTCGGGGACTCTGCACCAGTGGCCCTCGGGTACCAGTGTGATGAAGATCTGGGAGAAGTAAACAAACGACACCATGAACGCGAACGGTATCATCATTAGGAACAAGAGCTTCTGGTACAACCCGAACTCTCCGATGTGGGGGAGGATGTCGTCAAAGTCCATCTCTGGCTTGGTAGGTAGTTTGTCGCTGAGCGGGAGTTGTTGACGCCGCAGAGTGTCTGGTAGGTAGCCCTCGTTGGCCGACATGTCGCTGGTGCGGTAGACGACCGGTAACGCACTGCCGCCGCCGCGGCCGCGACAGTCAAGTAGCGGAGGGGGTGTCGGTGCCCTTCTCGCAACACCTACCACAACACACACTTACGTAATACACCAATATTGCAGGAAGTAATCAAATCTGTTTCGTATTTCTTGACCTTCTGTGTGGATTAATTAGTGAAGCATACAGATAAAAAACAAATAGCTTTACCGGAAAAAATGTAATTAAATAAGACATTATTTCAAAACAATAAATTATTTTAAATGTTTTAAAATATATTACGTTATTTTAAACTGGTGGTGCCTAACGCTCAACTTGTCTTAGATTTAAAGCGCTGATTTGCCGTATGAGTTTTTTTAAGAGGTTTACTTTATGGCTGCAAGCTTTGAACTGAGAACTGTCATTTATTTTTTTACTGTATTTTTAAAATTATTATTGCAAAATGAGATTGTCTTAAATATGACTATTTAAAGAATACTATTAATGAAATGTATCTACTTTACTTTTACCTATGTTTATTTAAACTTACCGTGAGCCCCAGCGAGTTGATGAAAATGTGGGCTAAACTGCCAGACCCGAGAATAAACTGGTACGATCACTTATCGGTAGATGGTAGTAACCAACTGTCGCATACCTTCATTTCATCTTCAAGAAACATCTTGCCTTAACCAATACATGGCGTTTTAAAAGTGTGACGCAGATGAACTAGCAAACTATATTTTATATTTCTTTGCTGCATTCTTCATGTTGAGTCCCAGCAAATAAATTGTAATTTTAACACTTTGCGTACTCCGAATCACTTACATGTTAGTGCACCCTGTCAATAAAAAATGAGCATGTTCATTTTGTTTGTTTGGCTGGAAACATTTATAAATACATACTTGAAAATTCTATATTTGAATCAGCTGGTTAAAGCAAACACAATTCCTCAACGTAAACGTCAGTACGGTTTGAGCCAGATAAGTAGAGAGAAGATATTGTCATGGGTTTTATTTTGTTCAAGAAAACCAAAGATGCACCTTCCAACAAATATATTTGATTCAACAAAATATGTGTTGTACCGTACTTATTAGTATTGTAGCAAAAATAACAATAAATTCGTTGGATTATTTGGGGGGGGGGGGGCATCTCATATGAGAGCTTACAGAGCAGACACGTTACTCTATTTAACTTAGCGCACAGTGCTTCAATGTGGTTACTCCACCCAAGCTCAGAGTCAAGGATGAAACCCAAAAATGTTACTGCCTCTTGCTTATCCACATTCCTACCAAGACTGAACAGGATTTCCTGAATTTTCCCTTGGTTAAGAGTAAGTCTATTACCCGAAAACCAATCAGTGGCAGTATTAAACATTCTGCTCACAGATAGTTTAGCAACTACAGGATCTGAATCACAAGCAAACAAGGCTGTGTCTTCTGCATATAGCAGGACATCATTTGACACATTGTAATAAATGTCATTCATGGCCACAATGAACAGGAAAGGTTTTAGTATCAAGCCCTGAGGGACTCCATGCTTCACTTGAAGCTGACTGGAATTGTCACCAGCCCAGCTTACCACCTGAGACCTATCTTCAATATATGATCGGACCACTCTGAGTGCAAACTCCCCCAGTCCGTGTCTCTCAAGATTTGTTAATAGAATACTATGTCTTGTCCCGCGACGCGTTGTGTGGCGCGCAACGCGACGGTGAAAATGCGCGAGCTGGAGCGTCGGTGCGCGTATAGCTACACTCACGACCTGTCCCACGACGCGTTGTGTGGCGCGCAACGCGACGGTGAAAATGCGCGAGCTGGAGCGTCGGTGCGCGTATAGCTACACTCACGACCTGTCCCACGACGCGTTGTGTGGCGCGCAACGCGACGGTGAAAATGCGCGAGCTGGAGCGTCGGTGCGCTAATAGCTACACTCACGACCTGTCCCACGACGCGTTGTGTGGCGCGCAACGCGACGGTGAAAATGCGCGAGCTGGAGCGTCGGTGCGCTAATAGCTACACTCACGACCTGTCCCACGACGCGTTGTGTGGCGCGCAACGCGACGGTGAAAATGCGCGAGCTGGAGCGTCGGTGCGCTAATAGCTACACTCACGACCTGTCCCACGACGCGTGTCGCGGCGGTCAGGGGGTCACAGTGGATAGTGTACAAGATAGAGACCTCCGTACTACACTGTATTATTGACAGCAAGTACAGTATACCTATGCAAGAGCAAATTGCTGTTTCCTTGAGATTTCTTGTCACTGGGGACAGCTATGTTAGTCTTGTCATTTTTGTTCAGACAAACTGTATCAAGATTCGTCGATGAAGATTGTACTGCGTTAATTGAAGAACATAAAAATGAAATAAAGTTAAATAATGTTCGTATATTATTCGTATATTACGTTGTGTACGTATCTGACAGCCATGTTCAACATCAGCAACCTACGTATCTATATATTGTGACGAGCTGCAGGAATGTAGAGTAGCCTTGATATACACTGATGTCGTCTTAATGTCCCACTGTATCAACTGTTGCTCGTAGTATTTTATGCAAGGGAAGGAGCGTGAGTTGTGTACGTATCTGACAGCCATGTTCAACATCTGCAACCTACGTATCTATATATTGTGACGAGCTGCAGGAATGTAGAGTAGCCTTGATATACACTGATGTCGTCTTAATGTCCCACTGTATCAACTATTGCTCGTAGTATTTTATGCAGAGGAAGGAGCGTGAGTTGTGTACGTATCTGACAGCCATGTTCAACATCAGCAACCTACGTATCTATATATTGTGACGAGCTGCAGGAATGTAGAGTAGCCTTGATATACACTGATGTCGTCTTAATGTTGCACTGTATCAACTATTACTCGTAGTATTTTATGCAGAGGAAGGAGCGTGAGTTGTGTACGTATCAACTGACAGCCATGTTCAACATCAGCAACCTACGTATCTATATATTGTGACGAGCTGCAGGAATGTAGAGTAGCCTTGATATACACTGATGTCGTCTTAATGTCCCACTGTATCAACTGTTGCTTGTAGTATTTTATGCAGAGGAAGGAGCGTGAGTTGTGTACGTATCAACTGACAGCCATGTTCAACATCAGCAACCTACGTATCTATATATTGTGACGAGCTGCAGGAATGTAGAGTAGCCTTGATATACACTGATGTCGTCTTAATGTCACACTATAGCAACTGTTGCTGTCATTATGACCGTTCTTGTGACAGCCTCCATTACTCTTGCAAGTAACTATGTCGTGAAAGTGGTATGTAAGTTTATCGATGTAGTTTGTCCAACCGAGTGCGGTATTTAAACTTATTGTTAAACGTCACTGATATGAATTACGGTAGTTCCCTATGACATTTTAGCCTTAAGTCTTCAGTAAACAATTTTAAAATATCCATTCTGTACCCGGAGTGAAAGTGGTTAAGGAAATATTAATGTGACATGTGACTCCTATACAGACATTGTGTTACTGTCCAAACAGCTATGTTTTCTTTACACCATTTAATTTTGAACATTAAAAGGAACCGTCTAAAGTATTAATATCTACTGGATACTGTTGTAGATTTACACTTTAAACTATGTATTTAACATAATTGTCCGACCCATCGCAAAATCCACGTTCCTTTGGTTTTTGGAAAGCGAACCTTCCGTAGTTAGATTTTCAGGGTAGTGTTACTTGTCTGTTATTTTCCTCTCAAGTAAAGTTGACCTGTCTTAACGGTTTACTCAACTCTCCTCATAATTATCGTTGCTCATTAAGATTGTACTAAGGTTTCATTATGGAATCTCATGACTAAGTTATAGAAGCGCTTAAAGCTAAAGCCAAAGTCTTTTTCCGGGTGCAGTATTTGAAGTGTACAAAACTGAATTCGTTTGAACTAGATATGATATTGCCTGATGCTAGACGTTTGATCAGGAATGTATTGTATGTCTTTGTCTCACTCGGAGTAGGTGTATTTAGCATATGATTGTACAGGAGCTCGAGCTGTGTACAACCATGGATTAAATAAGTACTAGTGGTCGTCCTGTGGTCGAAACTCGACCAAAAATAATTAATGTACAGACTTCTCTATTTTCTCCCCACACTGTAAATAACCCATATGATTTGAATTTCTTCCATTTGTTTTGATTTTCTGTTTACATTTTGTTGTTATTTCGTCACCATCATGGCAACCCATATACTCCATGTTAATTTTTTGAAGTTTTCAAATTAATTTTTTGTGCTTATTTGTTAGCCTATTTTAATGTTTAGATGCATTCTGCACATCTACAGGAAAATATCTTTCCAACAGTATGCGTAGATTTTCTCTGCGATGCACACGACCTGAGAAAAAAGGTTTTAAAGAAACATGCTTGCCTATTAATATATAGACGAGAGGTCGTCCAGTGGTCGAAACTCGACCAAAAATATGTAATGTAAACTTACTCACTTCTCTATTTTCACCCCACACTGTAAATAAAACATGTGATTGGAGTATCTCCCATTTGTTTTGATTTTCTGTTTATATTTCGTTGTTATTTCGTCACCAGCAAGGCAACGCATAAGATCCATGTTAATTTTTTCAAATTTTTAAACTCATTTTTTGTGCTTATCTTTGAGCCTATTTAAATTTATAAAGGGATTCTGCACACCTACAGGAAAATAGCTTTCTAACGGTATGCGTAGATTTACCCCACGATGCACACGAGCTGAGAAAAAAGGTTTTAAAGAAACATGCTTGCCTATTAATATATAGATAGATAGATACGTATACTCTCCTTTAATCTATGTTATAACTATCAGGACCAATTAATCAGATAGATAAGAGGTTGGAAGCAGATGGAACACCCGAGATTGTTACTTCCCGCACCACTAGGACAAGGCCGCGGCTTCCCGGCGTGGTTCCTGCTGGGTTGCCTCAATTTAATCTTAACCTTAATAATATTATTAATATAGGTTTAAATAGGGTGTTAAATTCATTCATTTTCAAAAGCAGTTTTCTAAATTGATTTCAATTTTGTGTGAGAGGATAAACCCCGTGATGGACAGGATATCTACACCTTGATCTAGACCTGCAATCGACATCTCTAGGACGCACGAGCCTTCACCTTACTAACCTTCGGGTTTTCCTGTCTTCTATAGGTAAAATCCCTGGCATTACTGAACGTCCCTCCATCACAATTATGGTATGTAACATTGTAAATCATCTCCTAGGGCTATGCGGAACTTCGCACTTGATGCCTGACCGTATATTCCATTTGTATTGGGTTAAAAAGGTCCAAAACTATTTTTACTGTATAAAACGAAAATTTGTCAGATTGACTGCGTGAACTAAGTACTCATACATGAACTGAGTAAGGTACCAATCGGGCATGCTATCTGGCACTATGCTGGTTAGTTGTGGTATCTAAGACCCAGTGGCCAGTATGACCCCGGCTTAAGACGCTATATAGAAATGTCATGTGGTCTAATCTGGTCTAGTCTATGCGTTGGCGATATTCAAATGTGGAAGTCCAGAATCACATCCGGTTGGTCAATTTCAAGGACACACTCCCAGACAGTTGACAATCACTGCGGAAGTACGCATACAGCAAGTTACGTAACTTAGCTTCCCTTGTTCGCACAGGTACGGTCCGGTGTCCGCCGTTCCAAGCCGACCTCAAACGTTTCCTTGCATCATTAGAAAGGAAGGCCGAGGGTGAGGAAGTAAAGTAGATCGCTCCAGTAGTTTGTAAGTAGATTGGCCTCATAGATCTGATGTTTGGTATCAGCACGCGTGGCCGTTGAATTGGCT